GAAGATTAATAGAGATGAAAGAAGGAAGATGGAAGAGAACAAATTAAATTGAGGTTAAGGAAAAGGAAGAGGGAAGTAAAGTAAAGAAATAGGACGAGAGATATAGAGTAAGAGGGTAAAGGAGACGAGAATTAAAGAGAGGAAGAGGAGGAAGGGGGAAAGTAAAGAGGAGGAGGAAGGTGTGCACGTGAGAGAGATACGCGACAGGCAAGGTGTGAGGAGACACTTCGTCCTCTTACCTGTGTGTGTGTGTGAGTGATGTTACTCTCTTATTCTTCCTTCACTTAACTCTATCCATCCTTCTGTCGTTTTAATTCCTATCTTCGTTAACATAATCAATTCCCATTTTACTTAATCTTCTGTTTTTATATTTCTTCTATTTCATGTGTTATCTCCTCTAATCTTTGTTTTTATTTAATTCATTCATTCTCTGGGTTATTATTTCGTCATTTCCTTCTCTACCTTCTCTCCACCTGTGGCCTTTCATCATAAAAGAAACATTTCCTTTTAACTAATATTACCCATTAGTGTTCTGTTCTTTGTTGTGGCCACCTCGGGGGTGATGTGGCCGTCGAAATACCAGTCAGCCGTGCTCAAGGTGGACCGGGAGGGAGGGAGGGAGGGAGGGGGGAGGGGGGGGTGGGGACAAGGTGTGTGCTGCGCCACCTGTTCAGACCTTCACCTGATATGACGCTCACCTAGGCAGTAACCCAGGACATAAGATCGCTGCCTGAGTTTTACGACAGACTACGATATTCATTTGTTTTCATCGATGCCGTGAAATCGTGATAAAGTTACATCAGAGGAACATAATTTTTTCTTTGGCGTTTTCTGGTATTTATGAACACGTTCTCTTGATAACCGAAGTATCTGGGATCTTTTAGTATATAGATGTAGGTAGGGACTCGAGTCACCATCCATCACTGCTTGTGGGTCTGGTAGGTTCAGCAGGCAGCAGCGGTAGTAGAGGGAGTTAGGAGTAGAGCGTCAAGCAGTCTAGTTGAGCAGGCGACGATAGGTCTGGTCAAGCCTTAGCGTTAACCCACCTCATTGCCACACACCTTCCCGTATACGACCCCGTCCTCAAATTTGGAGTGTATGTGACTCTTAAGACAGACTGGAGCATATAAGAGAGGACAGGAGTGTGCAGCGGGGAAGTAGAGGTAGAGGCTCCCCAACCTCCCACCCCACCCTACCCCACATCAGCCTCAGGTGCAGCTCCGTGTTTGGCCAGCGACAGAGATCCTGGCCAGTACATTTTTTTGCGTCATTCATCCACAGGTCCGCCGGGGCACACTGCATTACCCGCTGTTGTCTGGGTCATACTTGATCTCCCTCACACAATGTTCTGTCTCTCGGTAAGGAAATCTTGCTGCAGGACATGAAGACTGGTCCAACAAGCGCTGGCTCATGGTTGACACAGACATAGTACTGCTCCTAACACCGTCTGGGGAACATGTAGGCACTTAATAGTCTGTATGTATGTATGTCTAGATAACAAGGCTTTAACACAGGTATTTAGATAATTAATTTCTTCTTGGTGATGCTGTCAACACGTGGGCATTACTGCACAAATCCTTTATACTTTACCTAGATCTGAACTTATGTTGATAAATCTGAGTAATCTGTCTGAATCTGAATACCTTAAGAGATGAATGTTATGTTACGACCTTCATGTGTGTGTGTGTGTGGACAACTTATACATGACTACAGAGTTGGGGGAGGACGTACCGTTAACACTCCCTGTAAAAGTGTAAGTGTTTAGGGGTCTGGGTACTCCACGGTGGTCTTGTGGGTTGAGGGGGGTTGGGGAGTGGGGGGTAGGAGGCTGAGAAATGGAGGGAGGGCGCCGAGAAGTGGGGAATCTGTTCACCTAGGGGAAGATATCTAGACTCTAATCTTCATAAATTCGTAAGTTAATCTTCCTCTCGTGGCTGAAGACTTAACTAAGGCATCCCAGCTACTTTGTGATGGAGTTCAAGGCCATATTCAATCATCTTTAGTGTGTGGGGAGAGAAGGTGTTATTTTCACGGCCCCTCTCACTTGTACATACATCTCGTTACACTGGTGTTTTGTAGAAGCGTGTGAGGTGGGGACACGAGGCCTCTTAGACATACTGACGCAGAGACTTGAAATATATATATAAATACACATAGACTTATTCACACCCACGCACAGACATATGTAAGTATACTCAAACGTCCATACATTAACAGACACGCACACACCTGTACTTTCACAACGCTCTCCAGGTATTCAGTTTCCTTTCTATACACACTAAAGGTTCTGACTATTTAGGACAGCGATCAGCCAAACATTAGAACACGTGCAGTGCATGTGTAATTAAGAAAACACTTTCTCAGTACACTTGTAAACGTACAGGTAACACTTTAGCAGGTATGTAATTTAGATTATTTTCACAGTAAAGTTTTTTTTTTTTTGGGGGGGTGTACAGTACAGTAAACTCTTGTCAATACACTGAGCATGTGTGTGTACAGGGAATACCTGAACAACACACACATGAGTAGCCAACAGTTGTGTGCGCGTGTACTAAGTAATCACAAAACACTATTTCTGAGTGTGTAAAATACTATAAGAAACATCCTTTTGTTTATCTTGAAATGATTGACATCGATTTCAATCATTACAAGAATACTAATGACCAGATTGTTATCCTTTTGTCATAAACCTATTAAGAAACATCTTTGTTTACTTTATACTTACAAATTTTACCTTTAAATAACGCCAATACCCAAAGTGTGTTGAGGGAGTCTACTGTTATACTCGTCTCTACCGGCATCAAGACTCAAACACTTCATCTACCTTCAAGAACGCATTATTTACTTCCTCTACGTCATCATATTAGACGTATTATCCCGGGGTCACATTACGTTTAGATGTTACGTCTAGTATCTTGATTTTATTGGCCAAAGGAAAGTTGTTTACTAAATTTCATCTAAATCCGAAAACCAGGGACCACTTTAACGTAAGATAAATTCAAAATCCGGATTCAGGGTCGGCGTTCTCAAGTATCCATATTTAGAATCCGGATCTGGGGGCTGTGTTCTCGAGGCTCTAATTTTTTTTATCCTAACTTACCGAGACAAGAACGCATTAAGTGAAATTGTTTATTCTAGTACAATTTTGATCTATTTGTGTTTTAACTTAAGTTGGTCAGCTAAATGGGTTCTTAAGTCACTAGGACAAGCGATTGTATGGGTGAGCGAACATCGTAAGCCAGGGTTTAAAGGGAGGTGGGCGGATGTGCGGGTGGGGGAGGCGGATGCAGTGGATGGGAGATGCGTGTGGGGTGAGAGAGGTAGGTGGTAGAGGTGTGTGTGGTAGGTAGGCCAGTGGTATTCATCTATATTAAGAGGTCTGCTGCCATGTTGCAACCACCACAAAAACTAAAACAAACCAGTGTGGTGGAGAATTGTTTTAACCTTGTAATAACAACAACTACAACAACATGAGTTTACTAACAAACACACAACCAATAACAACAGCATGAGTACAATCAATAATAACAACAATGATAGTGATGATGAATATAACAAACAATTATAACGAAACCATAACAAGAACAGTAAGATATAACAAAAACAGTAAGAGTACACTAGAGTCAGGTGGCGCCTCTTAACATGGTGGTATGACTAGATAGGTCAGTTGGTCGGATCTAAGCCAACCTAACCTATTTTAACTTAACCTGTAGATTTTTTAAACGGTGTTTATTTAAGTGGGCTTTATCAACACCACACTTTCCAGCTGACGAAGATGAACTCAACATAAACACTGAAGACACTACCTAACTTAACCCAACCCAGAACATATATGCCTATAGTATAACCTGACATGAACCACCAATGACCTGTATGTCGCAGTATAAGGTGAAGACTAAAGGGGTTAATGACACAGTAACATAATCCTGTTTATAGCTGCTCTATGTAGGTCATACACTAGATGGTAATTGCTGATAAACCCCCAAGAGTGTGTGCAATGTTCTATTAGATGTCGCAACGTGTGTTTTTGTAGGTAAATGAAAGCAAAATAATGACCATGATCGAAGCTTGGGATATAATGTTGGTGTACTGCAAGGGGATATGTAGGGTCCTCTGCTGTTTTACGATACTTGATAAAACTCAGATGACTAATGAAGTAATCTACATTCTATTAACTTACATATTAATGAAATACTGTATATAAAGGGAACTGATTTGTACTGTTGTTTTTTCGTTCTATTCTTTCCTTGAGTACAGGAGAGTCGAGGTGACAAGCCAATCTCACATTCGTTCCTCAGACACTCATACATATGCCTCCTGTGTCTCCTTATCACACCTTTCTCATCACATTATTCTCTATCTTTCTCATTTATATCTGTTTATCTCCTGTCTGTCTCTCGTTATCTGTTTGTTTGGTTTTTATATGCAGAAATCTCTTAAACCTATTTGCACACTGAGGTAGTTTGTTGGTGTTCAGATGTATCCAGATAACGTCACCATAACCACCAGTCTTGGCTCAGTTCATTACCACACTGAGGCCTGGGTGGGGTGGGGTGGGGTGGGGTGGAGTGGAGTGGAGTGGAGTGGAGTGGAGTGGGGTGGGGTAGGATGGGGTGAAGTAGGGTGGGGGTCCAGTATCTACAGATGTAAACAATAACATTTATGTCACCGTCGACGTCACGTGATGTACGTAATATAGACTTGAGAGGGAAGTAATAGAGATAAAATTATGATGTGTTTTATAATGAGTTTAATAGCGGAGTGTCTTCATGCTTGTGGTCTGTGTAGAGATTAAAGTATTATTTCTCTCTCTCTCTCTTCTCCACTTGTTGAGATGAATCAGTAAGTAAGGGAAGTGGTTGGGAGAAGCCATAGAGCCACAGACAATTCCCGTTGTTTTCTGAATGACCTTTAACCCTTACAGTACACCCGGGGACCTCATACCTGTAAAAGATTGACCTTCGGTTCTGTTAATGACCTTTCACCTTTGACCTTGACAGCCGGGACTGGGGGTCGTGCCTGGAAGACGAGCCGCCCTTGGTAGAGTACACCTTTCCTGAGCTACCGCCGGGGGCCATGTACGACGCTGACCACCAGTGTCGTCTGAGCTTCGGCGCCGACGCCACCCACTGTGCGGGTATAGAGGGTGTGGAGCGGGTGTGCCAGACGCTGTGGTGCCACCTGGATGATCGGTGTATCACAAGGATGGAGCCAGCCGCTGAGGGCACCCAGTGTGGCAAGTACAAGGTGAGGACTCAACTCCCTGTCTTTATATGCTAAGCTTAAGTATAAAATTATTTTACCTTTAGGCGGGTACATTTAGTGATCATGTGTATTGTGTAATCAATAGGTCTGTACTTGCGTCTGTCTCTCTGCCTGAATTTGTGTTTATATAATGTACCCTTTTATATCTGTACTTGTAACGTGTACTTGTTGTACCGTTACAGTGGTGTGCGTCTGGTAACTGCGTGACGATGGGTGAGCGGCCAGCTGCCATCCACGGCAACTGGGGGATGTGGTCGCCGTGGTCCTCCTGCAGCAGGACCTGTGGTGCTGGCGTCGCTTTCGCCCAGAGACACTGTGACAACCCCGCCCCAGCTAATGGTGGCAGGTACTGTACCGGCGACAGGAAGAGGTACCGCATCTGTAACACTCAGGTGAGCAGCTGTAAGGACGGTGTGCATGGGAGCTGGACAAACAAAACAATTTAACTAATGGTACTGACAAAATTCTTAACATAGCATCAGTAGTGATGAAGGCAAATTAATGTTAGAAAATTTACCAGTAACAGTATAATGAATAAAAGACATGAACAATTACGGTGTAATCACTTATTAACGACACTGTTGTCTGCCGTTAACAGGAGTGTCCTGAGAACGGCGTGAGCTTCCGGGCCATACAGTGCTCAGAGTACAACAACGAGCCGTACAAGGGCGAGAACCACACCTGGCTGCCCGTCATGTTCGACCGTAAGTGTTACTAGCTAATGGTATTCCTAATCACACATCACCTCCAGACACCTGTAGTACACGACCCCATAGTTTGTGTTGGAACATCTGTATTTCACAAGCAGAGATGACTTCAGGGAACAGCTGTCACTACACCTCTCAGGACCAAAGGTGTAGAAATAACAATGGGCCGGGTAGAACACAGACTATTCCTCAATCTTTATTTTTACGCGAAAGAGAATATTATCAATTACCTCAGTATACATTGTTTACATATTGTTTATAAAAGTTGTTTACATCGAGGTGTACAACTAACAAGAGGTTTTGGTGTTGTGGTCAGATTCACCTTGTCAACTGGACTGTAAACCTGACAACGAGTTCTACAGTGTGAAGCTCCGCGATATTGTGGAGGATGGCACACCTTGCAAGCCAGGCACCAGTGACTTGTGTATCCACGGCGCATGCAAGGTACGTGTTATGTCCGTGATACCTGTGTGGCTCCTAGTGTGTATAGTCGGTATTGTGTACGCGTTTATGTAAGTATGTTTGTGTCAGATAAGTTGGCAATGTGGTAGAGTTGTCACCATTGTACAGTCCCCTTCACTTGTGCGTTTACAGGGGCTCGTCAGGTTTTGTGCAGTGTGGCAGCCCTGTGTTTGTTTACATTCGACAGAAAGAAACTCGCAATAGTAAACATGCTATGGAATCAAATTAAAACAATATTAAAATAAATATGTCAATGATTTGTGGGATGTTTATATGACGAGCCCCTGTAAACGCACAAGTGAAGGGGACTCTACGTATCAAGAGAGGTTGAACCTTCAGTGCCAGGTAGTGCCATGTTTATCAGCTCGGGACCTGCGCCTAACTTCGCTCATGTGTTGGTCACTGAGTGTGTTGTGAGGGTCTGGTGCCTCCTGCTGACTCTTGTTGTATGTGATCACTTCTGTATAACCTAACCTGACTTAACTTGACCTGACGTTACCTAACCAAACCCAAATTAACCTAACCTCTTCACAACTGCCATAACCACCACAATACCCCATCACAGCCACCATAACCACCACCATACCCCATCACAGCCACCACAATCACTACAATAACCCATCACAAACACCCCACCACAATAACCCATCACATCCACCTACTACAAAATCCTTCGAGTTGGTCATCTCCTTTCACCCGTCACCACAACCTCTAACCACCACGACCTTGAGGCAGGTGATCACTTCCCGCCTAATCTCTCAGTTTCCCGCCACCCGGATGACCTACAGTTCCGCTATACAAAGTCTTCGATGGCGTTCTTCCTCTCCTTCCCTCTCTCTCTCTCTCTGACGTTCTTCCTCTCCCCCTCTCTCTCTGGCGTTCTTCCTCTCCCTCTGTCTGTCTCTATCAGTCTTGCTCGTCAGCTTAATATTGATCAGATAACGACACATATCTTTCTCTTAATCTCTGTTCCCGGATGCTCTCTTTCCACCTCTTACAAGACCAACACACACACACACACACACCTGTAGAGTACAACACAAGGGCAAGATCTTGACGCCACCTCGACCACAACCAAACAACACGCCACGCAATCGATGTTCAGTGTTGACAAGATGGTGTTTATTACATGTACGTGACCTGTTTACCTTCTTTAACCATCCACGGTCATTATACAAGACATGGGATATTTCTGTGTCATATCAGCATTTGTTTATCAAGGACATTAAACACTCCCGTAGTAAGTTTGTTTACATGTGTTAGTACTGTGTTTATGGTCTCTGTAAAACATCATATCTAAGAGGACTTAAATCGTTGCTTGGGTGGGATGTCATGTACCAAGACTAGTCGTGTGATCATCGTGTTGGAGGAACTGATACAAGCAGACACTCGTGAACATCAAGGGTGTGGGGTGGGCGAGACCGTGAACCACCGAAGAAAATTGATTTAGACAAAATTTTATATAAAGTGCCCCGTAACTGCGCGGTGAAGGGGCGGGTCTCTCAGATTCTTCACGAGTCAGCATCCTTCCAGTGCGAGGGGCGCCACACTGATATTTTGGCAGATGAGGGTAAGGTTAGGGAACGGCGCCTAGATGTATACTCTCTAGCAGAATGATCGTAATCTACTAAAAAATAATAATAGCAAGGTGACTAGGCATACAATGTGATTTTTTTCCAATTCTGTTTCTTTAGCTCGCCAGCAAGAGATGTTGAGAGGAGTTGAGGTGGTGTCCTTGTTTTCGTGAATAATTGTTAACCTTTTATGTTTTATGTCACAATTTAGTAATGACACACAGCACAAAATACACGACACACAATACATGAAACGCGACACAAGATACACGACACGCAACGCACGACACACAATACATAACACGACACACGGGTTGACAGCAGCACGAGATGGCATCTTGACTGACTACATTTCCCCTGCATCAGACAGTCAACCACACTAGTAGCTCCTGCCATTGTGTGTTTTAAAGATGACAAAAACAAAATCTCTCTTCATTTTTCTCTGTTTATCAGTTATCAAGAACCTAACCTGCAACATTGGTCAATATCTAAAGTTAATAGTTAAAATATACTTGATGATAGTGCAGTACAAAGTGTCTGGCTGTTGGTGTGCGTATGTGTGTGTTGCCACTACCGGCCAGGAGAGAAAAGTTTCTAGACGTATATCCAAAATTTTCCAATAGTGGTTTATAATGGTGACTGAGGTTATAGGATCGAGGGTTCAGCAGAGGGAGTGTATAGCGCCAGTTCTTTTTAGGTGTGGGGTCATGGCGTCCACCTTAGGTCCTGTTGAGGTTAAAAGCTTTGTACTTATACGAAAAATTCCAAGAGAAGAAGAAAATAATGAAGCTTTTGTTCAGCTTTTTTTTTTCCTGCCTTCACGATCGGGAAAAATATCAGGACTCAGTCAAAATCAGAGAAAAATTGAATAAAGTAAATAATGGTTGTTCGGGATGCATTGTGGATCCTGTTTTTAGCCATGAGGATTACTACACCTTTGCTGTCCAGTTAGTTACGTGTGTCCTTAGGTGATGAGGAAGTGGCGAGCGGCGTGACCCTTCTGGCCTTCACGTATCGGCTCGTTTTATTTTGTCTTTGGTCATGAAGGAGTTTAAGTGTGTATAAATAAGTGTGTGAGTAAGTGCGTAAATGTATAAGCGTTTTAGTGTATGGATGTGTAAGGGTGTAAGCGATTAAGTGTGTGTGTGTAAATGAATAAATATTTGAGTATGTGCCTTAGTGTATGTATAAGCGTTTAAGTGCGGAAGTGTATGAATGTGCAATGGTGTAAGCGATTAAGTGTGTTAATATGTAAATAAGTGTATGCATAAGTGTGTTTGACTGTAAGCGATTAAGTGTGAAAGTGTTCGAATATTTGAATGACTGTGTAAGTTTGTAAGCTATTAAGTGAATGTGTGTGTGGGATCATGAACTTACCTAACGTGTTCATGACCCGGCCAGGGATTCGTGTCTATACGGAATGCCATAACCTCCTGTACGCGTATATTTAATTATATACATTTACCACCCAACTCATCCATATTACCTGACCCAACTTAATTACCCCTTAACAACCTATGAGCTTACTGACCAATCACAACTAAGTATTTTATTTTATTTTTTATAATTTATGAACCATTCCATTAACCTGAATCATTTACATCATAATAATTACCGTATTTACATATTATGAATTGGTTTATATACGTGGTGGTTCGTGATTTATGTAAATAAACGATGGTTATTTTTTTTTCCGGGCAAACAGCTGATGTCTTGACGGCGACCATAAACAGTTCATCTTTCCCTCTCGCTCACAGCCTCACGTGTCCTGCTATCACTTATCCAACTAACAGATCATTAACAGGTGGAGGTGTGCTACGTCAAGCTAACAGGAAGCGGTAGTATCTTGTTTTTATTTTTATGATAAACATTTTAAATTTTTACCTTTAATTGGTGAAATAATATGATGGGTTCGTTTTGTTATCCTAAGTTGATAATTATGAAGGGATTTTGACGAATTTTATACAGGTGCTTGGGTTACCTGATAACTAAAGGTAAAATTCATAGGAAGTGACAAAAATGATAAGATAATGTTAAAAAATATTAGTCTAAATAGTTTGTGTGTGTGTTTGTGTGTGTCTGGACTACCACAATATCTTACAACCTAATATTAAATGAAACTTGGTACAGTAGGCTGGTAAGTTAGTGATCAGTGAGGAAGAAGAGAAAATATTTGGTCAGAGGTTTAGGTTACAACTCCTGCTCAGATAACGTCGACCAAAAATCTCAAGAACGGGTTTGTTGGGCGATGCTAAAAAGTAAAAAAAAATTTTTTTTGTAAGAAGGAAAGAAAGTCTACAGTCAGGGTAATAGAGTTATGTCAAGTGCCTTTGACTTTTGGCTTAACTGTGATGGTGTTAATTTGTGTTTTTACCTGACTTACATCCAACGCACTTGTTAATTATCATCGTAATCACTAATCAGATTCTACCTGTGATTTATATTGGTTCTGTTTGACACACACACACACACACACACACACACACACACACACGCGCGTTCTATTTGTCACTGCATATTTAATCAACTAACTCTTTGTGTTTGTTTGTTTTGGTTGACAGAGAGTAGCATGTGACTGGACGATCGAGGGGGCGGCACAGGAGGACCGATGTGGAGTATGTCATGGTGACGGTACTCAGTGTGTGACCACCAGGGGCGTCTTCAACCTCACCCGCAGCTCTGGGTATGTCCCCGCCATCACCATCCCCCGTCACGCCCGTAACGTCAAAGTACTGGAGCTACACGACGCTGCCAACTACCTCGCCGTCAGAGACAACACCACCGGCAAGTACTTCCTCAATGGCAACTGGTGAGTAACATGTGACGTAACTAATGACTCTGTGTTTACCTGTCTGATACACCTGGCGAGGTAGACATGACGCTGTGTTCTCTAAAGGCTAATATAACTAATTAGTGATTTAATTTATAGCTAGATTCACCTGGTACATAATAGATAAAGTTATAGATGCATAAATTAATTGTGTGATAAATAAAGAGTGTAGGTCAGATAGGTATAACTTTACAACACAACACAAACACGTTATATTCTCAAGACGTAAACTAGAACATAATATCGTAGTTGTTATTGATAGCGTGTATGAGTGACGTTTGGGTGAATGAACTACAATTGCAACTTGACAACACCATCGTGGAAACAAGATTGAGTAAGTTGATAAACAGGACTTGTTATGAGTCACCTGCCGAGGTCAGTCTCCTTCCTTCATTAGTTCCTTTACCTGAGCCAGTTCACCTACCTATCTAATCATAACTACCCGAAGAAGGAAAAAGAGAATAAAGGACAACAGCAAAAACAACATACAGTATATATATGAACACAAGGCCACACAACATAAGCATATACGAACGCCAGTGTAAGCAGAAGGTTGGCGAAAGTTAATCTTGTACTTCCACGAAAATGTCATTAAGGAGTGAAGAGGAAGACTCGGGCTCACTTGATAGCACACACACACACTAGACGGCGACTGTTTAGTGAGTGTAGCTGTCTGTGTCTTCAGAAGTAAAAGTCCCACTTTGCTGTTCGCTCGTACTGGCGTTGTGGTCACGTTACCTCCCCCATGATGAAGTAATATTTAAGTAGCTTTAACACTCAAGTTGTTGTTGTGAAAGGTACTAGTGCCTCCTCTCCAGCTGTTGTGAGAAGCCTTATCCTCTACCTCTCCAACACGACGGATATTTACCTCCTCAAGTGGCCCAAACCTCTTTCTCCCCTCCACCTTTCTCTCTCGCCCCCTCCACCTCTTCTCGAGAAACACTACAAACAGTATCTTTCACCATTTTTTTCCTCACATAACACTCGGCCCTGGCTTCTCAAGGGTTCATTTCCTAATGTTTTTCTTCACTGTCGAGTATTGAGGTCACAGATAATTGTCATAAACCATCGTGTATAAGTCACCCCGTCCTGTCAAACATCCGTGTGTGTGACGATGACTGACATTGAGACATACAACTGGGTGACTGTTAAACATCATCTAAATTGAAACATAATTCTGGTGTTTATTCTCTGATACAAGTTAGTGAGAATCAGTAAATGTTTAAGAATCCAAGACCTAAAGCAAGATGTTTGTAGAGTAGTTAATTTTTGTGAATGAGTGATGTGTAGGAGTGAACATGTTTTATTTTATTACAACGCGAAGATGGTTGACTAGACTGACATCGATATAACATTTACAACTACTCAGACAGATGATGTTTTTTAGGCTCAATGTGAAGGCCCCTGATATATAAGGAACCACACACACACACACACACGGCATAAAGTAAATTTCGTATCATCAAAAGCTAAAGCAATCAGTAGCGAACCATCACGAGTGTAATCAGTTTCATTAATTGAGATCAGATTACTAACTCATGGCTTCATTTCTTTCAAGTATGTTAGTCTTCCTGTGTGTACTAGTTATTAGTTATATTAAGCAGTAAGTTATAGTTTCGCATATTATATATTTTTTTAATGGTGAGAGAGTGTGTGTGTGGGAGGGGGGTGTGTGGGAGATAGGTGTGTGTGTTGGGGAGGATGGGTGAAAGTCTGTAGGGGAGGGGAGGGGTGAGTGTGTGTGAGGGACGAGTGTGGACTGATGGGTGAAAGTGTGTGTGTGTATGTGTGAGGAGAAGACTGGTGAGAGTGTGTGTATGGGAGGAGGGGTGAAAGTGTGTGTGGAAGGACATGTGTGAGAGTGTGTGTGGGACGGACGAACGAGTGGGAGTGTGTGTGTGAAGAGACGGAATTGATTATTACGAATGTGAAGATGACCTTCAAAAACAACCTTGAACCTTTCCACTACTCATACCTTAGTTAACTCCGTTCCTTATCGTGGAGGACCTACCACAGTCAACACCCACACAGCTCTACACTGTTAACTGATGAAAACATAACCCCCACAACAGGCGTCTAGACCAGTGTTTAACAATGAAATTGGTGTAACTTTTAAGCCTCTAATAACACCATCAAAGCCTAATAGTGACTATTAAAACCAAGTAAAGACCAAGAGTTTCTAAGAGCTGACCTAATTGATTCATTTTCACATCAGAACACCGTAGAGAGTTAGTGATTCCCAAGATATATTTACTGCGAGTGTGAGAGTATATTCAGTTTTTTATTTTTCTCATACTTTGATCATCTCCTCCCATGACACTTTTAGTATGACGTGACAGCATGAGTTCATCACAAAACAAGGTCTTCCAGTATGGCGGTCAACTTTACTGGGTCATATTGCTTCTTATATCAGATTTACACCATATAATACAGGTCTAACTATAGTGTCTGGTGTGGTAAGGTAGTTAACAGTGTCTGGTATATTCTGGTTAACCTTTGACCTAAGAGAGTGATTATACAGTTGTCTCTTAAATCACCCAATTTACCAGAGGGCCACTTGGCATAACACACTGGTAACGAGACTTCACTTCTAAGGTCATCATCATTAAAGAAATTCCTCTACCTGTCTAAGGTAAACGGAATAAATAAGGTTCTTCTTTCACTTTGTATCCCACCGTTATGACGAAACACAACACAATGTAACTAACCAGCTTATGGAACCACCACACGCCAGTTAAGAGAGGGGGGGGGGGAAGAACCCTTATAGACCCTTATCTTACAGTCGACTATTGTTTACGCTGTTGGGGTGAGTAGTTAACTTTCTTATTCCACTTATTATTGTGTTTATTCATTTTTCTATTGTCTTGTCACTGTTCACCAAAGTAACAAGTTTAGTTGTGTAAGAACAAAGCAATACATTGTATATTATGCACTTCCGCTGTAACATTACGGGTGAGTGTGTGTGTGTGTGTGTGTCGGAGGAGGGGTGAGTGTGTGTGGGAGGAGATTAGATGAGTGTGTGGGGGAGGACGAGGAGGGCTGTGTGTGTGTGTGTGTGTGTGTGTGTGAGTAAAGTTGGCCTTGAGAACACACACACATACAAGGTCGAATTTCAAGTTATTAGGTTAAGTTAAATTAAGCTGGGTTAGATTAGATTAAGCTACATTAGGTTTTTTTGCGTTGACGTATTTTCTTTAACATTATACACGCCATAAACAGTAAAAAAAAAAGAAAAAAAGTATACACCTTCCAGACTTTAATGAACATCACTTGAATATACAGCAGCAACATAATCCCTACTTATTAATATGTCGGGTAACCCACACGTAAGGTCACAATATTGCCCTTTTAATACAAACATTTACGTCATCACCAACACTAATCTATAAACCTGTGTGTACTAGTATATAATTTTCTGAGACACCCTAGGCACTGTATAATCACTCGCGCCTCTCTTCTCTTATGTGCATGGTCGCTAATTTCAGTCCGTATGTGTGTTATGTTTTTTTACAGGATCATCCACTGGTCGGGTGAGTACAGCGCTGATGGTACCATGATGTACTACAGCCGTGAGGGAGAGACAGAGGAACTTTACCTGCCAGGCCCCATCAAGCATCCCCTCACACTCATGGTAGGTGTTCAGTGAGATGAAATAGATAACCAATAACAACAACAACAGCTAAAATAATAATAATAACAGCAGCAACAGTAACAACAATGATGATAACCATAATAACAAAAACAAAAAAATTCGCAGGTAATAACACTGTATAACATAACATTACAGACTACACTCTAATGGCAAAAACAACAGTGTGTTTACTTAAAGCAGTATAGCCACAAAGACTTTAAACTCGACACAAATACACACCGAGATGCAGGAGTCAATACACTTTTAATTTCTACTCAAAAATATTTCTGAGACCACATTAAGAGGATGCCAGCGAGATAAAGCTGTGTTATTCCTTCCTCGTAGACGACATACACACATACATAAACATGGAGGTGATCTCAGGTAATTACGCTCATAAATCATACGCGGTGATTAAATTTTACGTTTTTGTTTTTATACTTCACTCAAGAGGATTGTTGTATGTGGGTTTTTAACGTAATCTAATCTAACCTATCTTATCTTAACCTAGCCTGCCCTAACCTATCTTAACCCAATCTGTCATAACCTAATCTATCTTAACCTCACCTAACCCAACCCAACCCACAAAAACATATCCGAACACTGTGTTACGAGCGTTTGTGTTTGTGTTTCAGTTGTTGTTCCAGACAGAGAACCCCGGCCTCACCTGGGAGTACACATTACCTCACCAGAACGCCACCTACACCCCGAGCTTTGAATGGTACCACGCTGACTGGCCCATCTGCAGTGTTACCTGTGGCGGCGGCACCCAGGTGAGTATTGCGGTAAACCTTCCTTCTTCATCTCTTATTTTCCTCCTCTCTCCCCCTCCCTCCTCTCTCTTCCTTCCCTCTCTCCTCTTTCTCTTTCCCTCCTCTCTCTTCCTTCCCTCTCTCCTCTTTCCCTCCTCTCTCTTCCTTCCCTCATGTAACACGTCACAGCCTTCATGGTGACGTTAGTAATGTCCTGTTTATTGACGTTATTGATGCTGTAAATGACGTGTACTAACGCTGATAAATGATGTTATTGATTAATGGTGTGTGTAATAATAATAAAAAATAACGGTTTATTGAAAGAGCATGGCAGCCGGAAGGCTGAAAATATAGTTACATAATTGGGGAATGGGTCTCTTGATTTACAAATATACAAGTGTGTACGTACGTACGTGCGCGCGCGCGCGCGCGCGTGCGTGTGTGTGTGTGTGTGTGGTCATACTAGCAGCATCATAACAATTGAAGCCTAAGAGGTGACGTCATGTGGGTGTTGGAGTCACCTTCTCTGTGAAGCTTAAAGCCTCAGTATGACGTCATGACGGTGATGCCACAAGCCAAGAATTTTTGTGTTGTAGACGAGCGCAATTTTTATCCTCTATGACGTCATTACCCACATTATAAGATGACGTAATGTAAATAACTCAGGAAAAATGGATTTAGTGAAATATACACCGGAGTTTAAGACTCCGCGTTATGTACACTGTAGTAGTTTGTTTAAGTGTTTGGAGGTGTAGCCATTATATAGTTGCCAGATACAAGCCATCAATATTATCTCTTAACACACTGAAGTTTCCAAGTCGTGTTATGCATCATTTACGGTCTCCGTTCTCCGTATCTTGTTGCCGGGGTTGCAGGTCTCCAAGGCGCAGTGTATGGAGAAGGAGGCCGGGCTGGTGGAAGAAAAGTACTGCAGCGACCAGCCCCGGCCAGATGACCTCCGCCGTCCCTGTAACAACCATGCCTGTCCTGCCTGGTGGTGGTCGGGGCCCTGGCAGCCTTGCGCCATTACCTGCGGCAGCGGTGGCATCAGGAGGCGTACTGTCATCTGTGTGCGCTCTTTTGGCCCCACCGAACAGATGGCGCTGCTGGACTCTGCCTGCGACGACACCGAGAAGCCCCACGAGACGGAGGTGTGCCCTACGATGCCCCGCTGCCCGGAACTTATGGATTGGAGTGTAGGAGCGTGGAACGAGGTGTGTTAGTGTTGTATTGTGTAGTTTATAAGGAACAATTTATGAACAGCAGTCTATAACATATACTAATTAAACAAGACTTGTAGAGCCAAATAAAACCATAAACGTTGGGACAAGTTAAGTCATCACCGTGATCAATACTGTTTTGGATTTCTTCTTTGAAAGTTTGCATTGAAGTTCGTTAATAATAATACCACAGCCATAACTACTGGTACTGATCCGCTCTACTATCGCTACGACTACATCGTCCTTCGAATATGGTTGAGTTTAGTGATTTAGTAGGAGTCAGCTGTGGTGCTTGATGGTCTCTAACATGGTGATCTGGGAAACTGAACTATTAACATATTCATAAATAACATTATAGCTTCTATCAGATCTGTTTAAACAAATTTTTTCCTTCTTATTGTACTCCACCAGGGATGTACTCTGGACCCTTGTGAGTACGAGGTAAGGAAGGTGATGTGTGTGGCCCCACATGGTAACTGCGACCCCCTCACACGCCCCTCTGACAGACGCCTGTGTGGTAACATCACTTGTGGTGTTTGGGAGGTGGGCAGCTGGTCCAAGGTGAGTGTGCCACCTGCCTCGTTTAGTCTGGGTGGGTCACCAACTGGCCGCTATGGATCGTTTAAGAAATTGAGAATTTTACTATTGCCCCCTTGTTCTTACCATATTTTAAATAACTGTACTTCAATCTTTTATCTCTCACAGTATTCCTAGAAGTGAAATATTTAATGTTTTCTCTCTATTTTGAATGGAAGTGTGTGTGTGTGTGTGTGTGATTTTATACCATAACTGTGTTTTCCCTCGCCAGTGCACGGCGCCGTGTGGTGAGGGAGTCCAGTTCCGGCAAGTGTCGTGTGAGGGCGGCCTGGCCTGCCGGGAGAGGGATGAACCTAGGAGTGTGCAGGAGTGTGTTGGCAGCTGTCTAGAGGAGGAAACTGTTCTAGAGTTAGACGATGTACTTCTAGATGAATCGTCAACCACTAGTACTACTGCAGCCACCCTCACCACGCCAGGAGTCGTATACGCTGCTACTTCCACGAACACTCCGCCCACGACCGTCACACCGCCCACCTCCACAGTCCTCGCTACCACTGACCCAGCTACTTCCGGTCCACCACTTTCTGAACCAACTACAGCATCGACTACTGCTGGTGTGCCAACCAAAACTCCCACGACTGAAACTATCACTGAACCACCTACATCACAGTCTTCTACGATGAACGAAACTGAAGTAGAGTCTAAACCTACATCTACTGTTCCTTCAGTGATCTCACCTACATCACCACTGACTACAACAGTCCCCCCAACAACTACTGAAACACACACTACCAACGCACCTGACGTAGACGTAGAAACTAATGAGGCGATCACAGAACTTCAGCCACACACAACAAAACCAACCCCAACGACATCACAACCTCGTACGACAACGACCGAGAATATTCCTCTGCCCAAGAACGAGTCCACGCCTGAAGACGGAGAGGTTGAACAGGATGCTGAGGAGAACAGGAAAGAAAATTTAAAGAACGAAGAAGACCAAGAGAAGATAAACACAAATAAAACAGAAATCACGACAACAGAGAACCTTCCTTCTAAGACTTACGAAGAAGACGTTGGCGGGCAAAAGAAGGATGCCACAGCAATAGATGAAGAATCCTTACCAGAAAATACCAAGACTAAGGATAAGACGAAAGACAACACAGAAGAGAGTCACCCAGAAATTGATCATGACAACATTGACGTGTTTTATTCTCTAAATGAAATTGACGTTGATTCTAAGCCATTCATATTAAACAAGGAACAGCTCAGTGACGACGGAAATTCACCAAACGAAGGTGTAGTGGAGGCAGGGCCACCCGAGTCAGAGTACCAGCCGTCCACTGACCTTCCAGTCTTATCCACCACCACCACCACCACCACACAGCCAACAACTGCAGCTGAGGATACTGTTGCAAGTGACGAACCATCTGTTACTGAGGAACCTACTGAGATGGATACACACTCAGAGATGGCACCACCTATAGAGATGGAGCCACCTACTGACAGAGTGTCACATACAGAGATAGAGCAACACACAGAGATGGAGCTATCTACTGAGACGGAGCCACATACAGATACAGAGCCACCTACAGAGATGGAGCCACCTACAGAGATGGAGCCACCTACAGAGACAGCGTCACATACAGAGTTGGAAGTACCATATGAAAGCCAGAACTCTATCAAGGAAGAGGAGGAACAACGGCCGGAAGGAATCGTAGTAGACAAGATCGACGTGGAGGACGTGGAGGTGATCGAAATCATTGAGCTGCCTCCTAAGGGCAAGAGGAAAAAGAACAGGAAGAAGGTCCTCCTACACACCGGGGCTGAGGCTGTAGACGTCCTGCATGACCTGGCGGAGGAGCAGGCAGCCAAGAAGGCCTCCATGACTCCTTCCTCAGACGCCACCCTGGACTATATCCTGCCAGAGTACAAGTGGAATGTCAGCCACTGGTCGGAGGTAAGAACAAAGTACCATTTACATCATCTTGTTAGTGTTATGTAGTGATCATGTTGTTCTTGGTGTCAAGGTTTACCCCACGGTAGAAGGTTGGTGTGTATAGTTGCATGTGTTCATCTGAGACAGGTATTTTTCTTAATAATATAATGAGTAGTTTAGGTTAGATAGATTTCAGACTAATTTGTCCCCATACAGTGCGGGAACTAATTTATTGGGCACCCTCTTACATCTTGTACCCGGCGAAGCACTGAAGCATTACTGACGCGACTGAGAGACTAATCTTAGCTCTCACCTCATCCTTGCCCAGGGGAATAGTCCAAAGGATATACATTTAAATGTACAAACTTGCATTTCAACCCAAGCCTGATCTGCTGTTAATTCTTGACTAAAGAAAGGTGTAACAAACCTACTTTGTTTTTAATCCGGAAGACACATAAGTGACGTGTATGTGATGGTGTCATCCACAGTGCAACGCGGAGTGTGGTGGAGGTGTTCAGAGGCGCTCTACCATGTGTGTGGATGTGACCTTGGAAACCGTGGTTGACCTTCACCTCTGTCCCTATCCAGCGCCGGACAAGATGCAGACTTGTAACTCGGTCAGTTATTAGTCCATAATAATTAATTCAACATTGTAAGAGCTCTAATGGCTCCGTCCTGTAACAAAAAGATAATTTCATGACAACATATATTTTGAAAGATGTTTAGAAGAGTAAACATTCAGTGAACACATCTTGTTTGTTGTAAGTAACTTCACCATGAGCCCTTCATTTGTCTGTAAGAGCTCTTGGGGCATATTTTCACACAATTACGTCATAAGGCAGTACCGTACTTCATGTTATTTATGGCTTTTGAATGTAAATTTTACCCAGAAGTAATCACTATGACAACACTTGCTATGTGGATGATGCTGACGACCCGTGTATCTCCCTCAGATGAAGTGTGGGGAGTGGGTGGTGGGGGACTGGGGCGAGTGTTCCTCGTCGTGTGACCTCGGGGAGCGGGTGCGACCAGTCCAGTGTCCTGAGGGCGAGCGCTGCCCCTCCGCCACACGACCCCCCGAGGAGGAGCCTTGTGACCAGGAGCCTTGCGTCCAGTGGGTTGAGGGACCCTGGAGCCTCTGTACAAAGTAGGTGATAACTCTTTATTAACCCCCGTCACCTGTCCGTCTCTCGCTGTACATCTGTCTATATCTGTCTTCCACATGCTCTCTCAATCAATTTATTCATGTCAGCAATGTTTTAAGAGTAATTACTGTCATTATCTTACACGCATGATTTTAACTTATTCTTCAATACATTACTTTAATTTATAATCATGCAGCCATGGCGAACATTACGTATATATCCTGTCTTTCCTGATCAAGACAACACATACCACGTGTGTTCACCCCCAGGCAGCCTATCTGAGTCCTGAGTGGTAAACATTGTTAGCTGCATCAACACCTCTACACACCGCTTGGTCACTGACTCCCTCACTCACTCACCCACCCACTCACTCACTTCTTATCTTCGACGCCTCACTGCCCTAGGGAGCTGTTATGGGTGTGGCTCCGACAGACCTTTAGCTACAGTACTCTTCAGCCCTGTACTGTTTTACTCATGTCTCCCTCGACATTACCTTTCTGCATACTTATATCATCCTATCCTGTGGCATCCGGCACACACACTCCACACAGACATAAAGAACCTCTCATCACGCATCCCGACACTTTGCTGTTTATAATAGCCTTTGACCTCTCAGCCACCCCAAGCATCCTGTGCGTGTCTTCTCCTTCACTGCTCTTCACTTCAGGCTACAATTTCAGACCACCACCACCACACTGGCACTACTACCGCCACCACAACTCCTCTTCAGCATTACCACCACCTTACCACTAGCACTTTCCACCACTACCACACCTGCACCGCTATCTCCCAGCAGCCACCCCACCACCACCATCATTACCCATCACAACTACCACAGTAATACCTATGGTGGTACTTACCACCATAGGCACTACAACTGTTCCCACCGTCACCACCCTCTGTACCCTCAACACTCCTTCGCACAGGTCGTGTGGAGGCGGGTACCAGATCCGACACGTGAAGTGTGTTGATATACGGACGCAGAAGGCGGCGAAGACCTGCCCGAGGGAGGCCAAACCCAAGCACAAGATGGCCTGCAGCAATGAACGCTGCCCTAAGAATAGGAGAGGTGAGTGTTAGAAACCCACTCAGGTGTGTTAGGGACGAGTGCTAATTAGTTTTAAGTTACCTTTAAATCCAGGAGTCGTGATGATATTAACAATGTTAACTTTACTGTTGCATGGTACGTATAGTTGCAGTGATGCAGCATGTTGACAATGCTGCACTTACAGAGGAGAAATAATACTGACAAAAATAATTATGTTCCTCTCGCTACTCCCTCTAGTTTCTTAATTACTTATCTAACTTAAGCTAATTCTAGAAAAACCCTCCCTCCCTGATCCACCTCACATAAACTAGCAGTGGGATGGTGATAACTACCAGCATAGAGGTGAAGACCAGTTGGTGCACCTGCTGGCAGTACAAGCCTTGATATTTTAAGATTTTAGCGGCCTGATAAATGGGCCTATTGACCCCCTAGTTGGTTATGTCTTCTTGCCTCGCCAGCTGCACTTGAGCACCATTAGGAGCCATTGTGAGTGCCTTCATACTGGGTGAGAAGGCAATTTGTGACTGACTTCGTGTGAGTCAGTACTTGTAGCATAACCATAACCTCTCCGTTATATAAAAACTTAACAGGTTCAAGAATATTCAGACCTACGTCAACCTGTACAAGTTATGCCAGACCCACTTGGCTGACACCCTGGAGTGACTCGTAAATTCCAGGGTGTACGAGGTGAGACTAGCCTGAGTATAGACCTTTTTGTCGGGCTCACCCTCATGTGAACGTCACTCAGCAAGTAACACACCAGAAGAACGACTGATTTTTTGTCTTGTTCTGTACATCACCCACCGCTGTCACTGATCTGGTGCCCCATACAGATGTGTACTGACTTTTACTTAAGATTAGTTACCCTATATAAGAAAAGTCCCAAGTCTTAATTTTATTGCTAACATACTTGACTTACCTGGACTCTACTAGATAAAAGGATGGAGGATTTCTCTTAGAGATGCTCCGTAAAAATGTGCTACACCTCCTGAACCGTAAGTCGCTTAACACTGAATCATCTTCTGACATCTTGTTACTTTCGCTGTTTTTGGGAGACGTGAAGGAAGAGTTTGCATCTGTCTCACAAATGGTCTGAGCCACGCATGGCTCTAGTGATGAACACATGGTGGCGCTCTTTTTCTCTGACAGTGATAGTCAATGAAATGTCAATATGTGGATCCTTGGTGTTGCCAAGAATCCTAGAACTTATCAAGCTGCCAAAACGAGGTGTTGGTGATAGCAAGGCTGTGTAAGGAGGAGGCCGTTGAGATTACACTTGGCCACTCCGTTTTTCTCTAAGGTTCCCTGCCATAAGTCAGCTCCTTTGCCAACTCTGACATTTAACATGTCATTTAACATTGAGAAGCACAAACTTTTTTTTATTCATGGAGAGAGATTAGCCCTCTATTAGTGTCATCATAAAAGGCCTCCTTGATGTCATCTTCTGCATCCAGTGTTGGGGCGTGTGCACTGATGAAGGAGACAGTGTTATATCTACACAAGTCTGTCACAAAGGGACTCTCGGGGTTATATGGTGATAAAGCCGAGAGTATGGTGAACTGAGTGATGGCTGCGCTTGGGTTGATTTATGTGCACAAAGCTGCAATCACACATCTTGGCTCTCCCTATTATTGATCCAGTGGTCCAAGTTAACTGCAACAACTTGGCAGAGGAAGAGTTACAACGGGCTGCCAATAGACCAGTTTGTTGGGTTTTGCCTTCGTAGCTTAGTCAACGTGTATTGCCTACATCCACCGGTGTAGTTGTTGGATTATGTTGGTCACCTCTGGAGTGATGTGTGTCCATTTTCTACCTCATGAATCCCAGGTCGGTTTTCTGTATGCAGTTTCTCCCATAGCCTTTCACTGAAGAGTTTGACCATTAGGCAGTGGTGTAAGACAGTCACAGTATTTACAACAACTCTCTCCTACAGGTGGTATGATGGACTCAGCCGTGACCTGGAAATCTATATCCATGAGCACTGGTTCTATACCAGGTCCTTATAATTTTATATCCATGAGCTTGACCTCTATGTTCATGACCTTACTGCTTCACCCCGACCTTGACCTTTACTCCTTGTGTCCAGTGACGCCGTCCTCTAGGTCACCACCTGCTCTGCCTCGTGATTTTCACCTGTACTGACATGTCACCTTCACTCAAAACCTTGTAACCTTTTCCCACAGGTCAGCAGCGGCGGTGCAGAGATCGACTGGACACGAAACTGTGTAAACGCCTGAAGCACATGTGCAGCACTAAGTTCTTCAAGGTCAAGTGCTGCAGGACCTGCCTCAGGTTCGCTGCTTGAGGCAACCCGACCGCCAATCTTATGTGACCTCCCGCCACCACCTCCAGTGACTTCATTACAACCACCTTATTATTCTTCTTGAGGTCTCCATTCTCCCACCTCCATGACTCACTCCCCTACAAGAGATGTCTGTCATGAAGATTGCGACATGTTTAACTTTCAGGACCCACCAGGATTCCATGTAGTGATCCTTACTGGCACTGATGATATCCGGTCGACTTTGTGGCTGATGGTTGACCCCTACTAGAGTTGTGGCCAATGGTTAACTCAAGAGCCCTCAGTGGACTCTCAGGGCCCATAGAGACGCCACAGTGAGTGTGAAGACAAACGAACAATGGGGGTCGTGCAGGGTGTCAACAGTCCAGTGTTATCCACAGTAGAGAACTCTGTGTTGAACATTATAGTTTGCACCTTGATAACGTCAGAGCAGGCAGAAGGCTGGTGAATGGTCATTCCCTAGCATCGTGTCACTATAGACCTAAGTGTTGCCTGAAGCAAAGATAGCGCCAAAAGGTGGCATTAAATGACGTCATGCATATCCGGTGACAATATTCGTATGAACAAGACAAAACTATGAACTTCAAGTGCTCCCACATATTTTAAAATGAATCACACTACATTTAGCTAGTAATACCCGAACTCTTACTGGGATGTTCATTATTCTAGGTAAGAATAATGGGTGCAGATAATGGCAGTAGTCCCAGATGAGTAACAGTTACTGGGTGTCCTTAAACCATTTTATGGGTGAGTGACTTAACACGTCGAGTCACCCCAAGAGAAGCTCTCCCAGCAGGCAAGGTGATGACAGGAGCCGACTGGTGTGGTGGTGTAGCTGTCACACGAACCAAAGTAAATCCACTCATCCAGAGACGCAACACAAACGTCTCCTGCGACCACTATCACCGTCCATCCACACTGTAAGGTCATCTGCTGTCTGTATAAGGTACCAGTGGTATCCTTCTCCACGACACTGAAGACGTTACAACAACAGGTCCTGCCGCCACTGTCTCCCCTCCAAGGCGAGAGTGGCTTCATCACTACCTATTGTGAGTCATAACATGAATAGCTCCTGTCAGCTTTACCTTCTGGACATGAGACCAGCTGCTCACTGCCTGTCTGTATGTTTTGGAATACAAACACTTCCTCTTTTATTACCGGTGATGAGTTACGGTGGTTAACACTTGAGGAGCTGCAGGTGTCACAAGGTCAGCAGTGTGTGTGTATGCCTCCTCAGCGCCAACAATCGCTTCCCAGAAATAAAAACAAACACTATGTCACCAGAGGTATTGTTTGTGAAGCTTAATAGTGTTGTCCTGAAGATTCTCGTCTGTTGTGTCTGGGCCATCACGAGGAGCGAGGGGACGTGTCCAATTACCAAGTGATAAAGGTGTAGCTCCTCAACATGATGGAGATGGTGGTCACTAATACTCGCTGGCGTAGCACTTAGGTCTACGTAATACTCTAGACAATAAGGAGTGTATTATCTGATTGTACAGCAACTCGTGTAAATAATATGTTCCCTGTATTTTAATAGTGCTGTAGGTTTACGTTATGTGAACCTAGAGAGATGTGTTGAACGACTTAACATAACTGTTACTCATGTTATTAAAAGAGTATATTTTACCCACCGTAGTGTTGATGTTGTAGTGACGGAGCTGAGTACAGTACGGTACTCTAGCACAAACTACTCTTAAGTACTCGTGTCCCTTAGCCCATGTTGACCACGACTCTTGATGAGGAGTAACAGCTTAGGAGTGAAGGTGAGGGTGTCATGTTACTTCTCTGGTCAGGCGGTGGTCGTCACACCCACCACGACAGCCTAGGTTAATATTTCAATCCTCAACTCAACATTTATCTCCTGACTAACACTTTAAAGTAAACTATATCTCGGGTCCCTATACGTGAAAGGTTTCTCCATTGTCCTGTTCTTGGGAGAAAGAGAGAGACACAAAACTGGAGATTTCAGGGTAATATTTGGTGAAAGTTGAGAGGATGTCTGTGCCAACGTGTTCAGTTTACAAAAGTGCCGCCGTCAGAGGTCAAGGCCAGGTCCAAAGTGCCATTTCTTACTCGTTATATAACAAAATTTGCCACATCAGTCAAGGCTTTAAAGATCCTCAGAGGCGTTAAAGAATCCAGTTTCGGGGGGATGTGAGGTCACGTGAATGTAATCATGATGGACAGGGTGATGAAGGAGCGACGTGATGGTGGTGGGTAATGTTCAGGATAGACAGACACGAGGAAGTAAGAAGAATAGGGAGAATGTGTACGGAAGGGGGTGGGGGGGACTGAGGTTCATTATAACGAAGGGTTCACTTGACGTGGGACTAAGAGGTCTCGGAGACAATTACTGCTTAGATTGAGATAAAGTGACAAATACTCGTACAGAGGAAGGTGTCCCAACACTGAGGGATAGGGTGAGTGAGACACAGGCAGGTGAGGGGATTCCTGAAGAACTTCGCGGGGCGTATAGGACTAAACAGGGTGAGAGAGAAAATAAAACACCATAGAGGCTATTATAGAATATAAGGTCAAACACAAAAAGACACAGGGGGAATGACTCGAGAAATATGTTCATGTTATAATTGAGCGCCACTGCAGGCAGGAGGTGGGTAAGGATTCGTCAGGCTTACTTTGCATTGGCGCGTCATGGAGATGTACAGTATAGAGATGAACGTGCTGGTTCCGCTTCAGTATCACGAGCCACATGTGAGGAGGGAGTCACGGTGAGAGAGAGAAACGGGGAGGGGAGGGGGGGGTGAGAGAGTGAGTTAGGAAGGACACCTACCTCGGGGGTGATCAGTATTACATAAGATCAACACTGCCCTTTATGCCATTGTTTCTTTATAATCTTGCCTCTTGAGTTGGGTTCAAGATTCAGAAAATTTCAAACATTATTATTATATTGTAACTTACCAGAAAATAAAGTGCCGAGATAATGACGTAATAACAAAGCTTTTATCACACCTAGTGAGTATTTGATCAGTTTTAGGGTTTATTATATTATTCCGGTTGTTAATATTACCCATATGTTTTACCCATAACGATACTCTGATGAAATTCTTGTCAGTGTTTACATTTTGATGGTCTAAAACACTATATTTGATCTAATACTGAATACCACATGGATTACTCTTCATATTAATTTGATATTGAAAACGCAAGACTAACATCTAATTATTTTTTTTGGATAGTTTGTTAAAAAATCGACTAGGTGATAATGAGCTTATGTTTAAAATAGGTGTTAGTAGGTAACCCACAAATATTATTATGTAATACGTGTTTTGGTCTCGATTAAAATTGAAATGTGTTTCTTTTTTTATAATGTTAGTTTTATTATCCTTCCCTACCTTCTTCCTTACCTATTCCTACCTCACCCTTTCTTCCTCTCCTTGGCCCCCGAGTACTACCAGGGCCAATGATCCTATGGGATTACCCGGGACTATAAGGGTCCCCAAGGGGGCCTACCAGGACTTCAAGGGACTACCAGGGGGCTACCAAGGGCCCTACCAGGACTAGGGGTCCCATTAGAGTACCAGGGAACCCCCAGGTAACTACAAGGGGCCTACCAGGGTTCCATGTGACTACCAGGAGCAATACCAGATTCAGCTTCCCCATGGGGGCCCCAGGTTACTAAAAGGGGGCCTACCAGGGTTTTAGGGGGCTCTAATGGGTCCTACCAGGGCCAGAGGACTAGAGTGGGCCCCCAGTGGCCCTACCAAGGACAGGGGACCCCCCAGGGACCCTGTCAGTGCCACGGAGCTCAGGAACCTACCAGGGTCAGGGGTCCCATGAAACTACAAGAGGCCCTACCAGGGCCAGCGAGCCCAGAGAAATAACAAGGGGCCCCGAGGAACCATACTAAGCTCAGGGGCCTTGCCGGGTTGAATCAGGGTCCCCCAAGGACACTACAAGGGTCATGGGGACTCCTAGGCGTCCCTAGGTGTCTTGTGGGACTACCAGGGCCCCCATGGGATTACAAGGGGGCCACAGGGGACTACAAAGAGGCCCAACGAGCCAACAGGGTCCCATGAAACTCACAAGGGGCCGTATGGGAATACCAGGGTCCCCCTAGAAACCCTGCCAGGGCCCCCAGGGGACTACCAGGGCGAGCAACCCATGGGGCTACCTCCCTTTTCCTTACTTCCCCTTCTCACTTTTACCACCACCTCCCCCCTCTACATACCGTCTATCACCACCATCTCCTCACCCTCTATATTTCCGCTACCACAAACCGCCCATCACCTCCCCTCTATCCATTCCCTCCATCATCCTCCATGCCCCCCTCACACTCTCTCCCCCTCTTCCATTACCACAGCCTTCTCCTTTCCACCCTCTTCCTCCTACCACTCATCTTCCCCACTTCTCAATCTCACATATATCTATCACTTCTCCACCCACCTTCTCACTACCACTGCCCAGATACCTTTGAAACAAAACCACAGACCTGAGAGTAAGACCAATGAACCAGCAGCTCCACAAACTGGCTATGAGAATGTAGCAAAATATTGAATACTATTTGTAAGAACTAATCCTACAAGACTTACAACAGAAACACCACGGTAATTAAAGATGATTACCTGAGAACTGCTACAAAACAAGAGGATCTACGCAATCCTTCCCCAATAAAGTCTTGACAAGTAGGAATTCAACAACTACACTGGACCAGAAATCGCCAGCCAGGTCGCCAGAATACTAAACACGGCCTCAGACCATAAAATATTGTGTTCAGACCTAAATTAAGTTGAAATGAATCGAGTAAAGTTACTAAATGGGTACCCTGCCTCCTATGTGTGTGGTGTGTGTTTCTGTCTGTCTCTCACTGTGCCTTAGATTATGAAGTATAGAGTAGAGGTATAATGAATGGAGGGAGGACAGATGGGAAGGATGAGGGCGGAAGTGAAGGGAGGCAAGGGATGAGGGGAGAGGAGGGAGGGGAGGGGGTGAGGACAGTGTTTCATCTCACAGCTCTTGACGTGTGAGGTTGGGTATATCTTAATGTTTGTACCTCACCCCTCCCCACCGCAACTTGTTCTTATGGAGTTCATTTTAGACATTGTATCTCAAGTGATGTTTGGTAGAGGGTCACACTAGGCAAGAAGGTTACACAACACAATCTAACCCAAAAGGAATCCAAGTGTGCTACATATTTTCTATTGACACTTCTCAAGGTTTTTAGTATATCTCCACTAACTCTTTCACTATGGGGACGCCACTTGCAGTATTTTAACCAACGCTTGACGGTTTTATTTCAGCTCAAATATTACTATACAATAATAATGTTGGCCAATATGTTACTTTTATTATTGAACTTTGTGGTGGGGGGAGGGAGAGAGTAAGTGGGGGGAGGGAGGGAGGGAGAGGGTAAGTGGGGGGAGGGATGGAGTGGGTAAGGGACCGACGGGACAGAGGAGCATCTCACGGGGTCTTGACCATATTACAAGCAGAGGGTCACTGACAGCCTTTCATAGTTCAATTGCTGGCTGCTTCCCTTCCTCCTATTCACCTCTTTCATCACTATATTTCTATGTACCTGAACTATATTTTCTCATATTTATAGTAGGAGTGCTATTTTACCTATTTTAGACCAGTTTCAAGGGGAACAAATATTCCCACACCTCTACTCCCGGAGCCACAGCCCTCTCCTCCTATCCCTAGAACTCAGAATCGCCTCCTCCAGAAACTCCCAGGAAGTGACTCACTATGACCTACGGTGGACTGCTACATCCATGCAGGACCCATTTCCAACCCACAATCATTTACTTTAGCGTACAGTAAACCCCTTCTTCTTGCCTCCCCACGTTAAACCGGACTTCACTAAAATGGAAATCTGCATTGGGCTTACTGTTGCCTATTATAACAACTTTGTAAGAATAAAATTAATGAAAATATGTAATAAATTGATACAACTTTATAGTTTGACAGAGAGAGAAAAGGAGCATTTGTCCCGAGTCTTTAGTGTACAGGATGTGTGTATTTAGCCCAGACCAGGCCCAGAGAGAGAGAGCCAGCCTTCTCACTGGGGTAAATACACATGTCCTGTCCAAGAGTAAATGTATGTAACTGGTAACAGTTAGACGTGTAAAACTGCAAATAACTGTACAAAATAAATGAGGTTTTTTTCTTGAACGTAGATCCAAAGTTTTGGCGCCATCCACTACATTTACAATGATAAATGTGGCCCAGAGCCTACAAAAGGTTGGGGACCACTGAGTCTTAGAGCCTACTGATGCCTATTATAACTATAATAACTTAGAGCCTATTGGTGCTGCGTAAAACCTTTGAGAGGATGGTTCTTGGCAGACTCTTATATAGACTCAGAGAACACTTCTCCTAACATATATGGCTTCACCCATGGTAAAGATGTACCTAAATGCATCACCACATTCCAAACTGTGCATGAGGTTGAAAGACACAGATGCACCACATTCCTTGACCTAAAAGCTGCATTTGATATTGCCAATAGGCAATATATTTTGTACGAACTAGCCAAAATGGATATAGGAGGTAGGCTGTTACACCGGATAAGTGGTTACTTAACCGACTGGAGGGCTGCTGCACTGTTTCAGGGTTACAAAAGTGAAGTTAAAGATATGCAACTTGGTACCCCTCAAGGTGGAGTACTTAGCCCCACTTTGTTCAATGTTCTTATGAATGCATTATTAAATTTAATACCAGACAACCCCAGCAATATCACAATCAGCTATGCTGATGGTATTCTTATACATACTAAAACTCATCGTGAAATGCAATCCACCCTGAACCATGCACATGCAGCCTGTGAGAACCTCGGTCTTATCTCCACTGAGAAAACCAAGGTGTTCAACAAACAAGCTGGTAACCGCAAACGCGGCCCCGCCAAGTTCAAGATAGGTAACAACACTTTTAAATATGTTGGTGTCTCCGTTCCTTGTACAGTCGCCCAAAAAATTCCTGTCGCGAACCATGAACATGCTTCAGATTCAAGAGTCTGAATCTCGGGGTTCATGGTTCGCGACAGGACTTTTTTTGAGTGACTGTACCTTACCTGCCATTCAACGGGTAACCCGCCAATGTCTGACAGACTGAAACCTCTTAGATGTGTAGCGGGTTACAGCCCACATTATGGCACTAATATTAGAATTGCTAAAACAATGTACCAAGACTAGATAAGATCTCTGATAGATTACTACGCACCAGCCCTTGTCCTCCGTGACGGGAAAGGCATTGACAAGCTCGAAAAAATGCAAAATAAAGCACTCAGAATTATCCTAGGATGTCCCACACAACACAGATAGTACAGTACCCCCACACAACAGAACACAGTGACTTAACTCCGGTTTACAGTAACTAGACCATACAGGCTGGCCCCCTGCCATATCTCTCTCTCCCTCAGTAACTTCAAAAGACAAGAACCACTACCACCACCACCAATGTGACTGCCGCCGAGTCTTACCGTGTGGCTTTGTAGTCCCCGTAAATATTGAACTCGACACACACTTCCCTCTCGTGTTGCCCCAGGAATGGAAATGAAGGATAAAACAAAAACATGAATTATCTTTTCTTGAAGTGTTTGTTTTGTGTGTGTGTGTGTGTGTGTGTGTGTGCGTGTGTGTTATTCCTTCCTCACGTACGGTATAATCTGAAGTATTTACTAAAGTTCTCGTATGTCGACTAAACACTACCTGTCAACACGTATTAGATAAACCTGCTCGTGCTGTTAACCTAGACAGACATATTCGCTTTGCTTTTGTCAGGTCGGTTAGTCTTACAAATTGACACAAGAGTTTATTTTCTCGTGGCATTTTGGGCTTACCTCATCCAATCAGCATTAGTGTACTCTCGATTTGGTCCAATTAACGTCAAGATGTTCTCAGCCTCGTCCAATCAGGGTTAAGATTCTCGTCCATGTCCAGTCAGCGCCAAGAAGGTAAATATTTCGTCTTTGGTATTCTTGTGATTGCACTGTTTCACTGAAAGACAAATACAAAATATAATTCACATGTATAAAATCATATCAATGAATTAAATAATAGTAAATCAACACTAAGAGCAGTAGGTTGGTGAGCGCTGTAAGGATGAAATTCTGGCCACGTTCTCCAATGTGTTTACGATAAATTGAACGATAACGGGAGATGTAAGAATGGATCATGTTACCAGATGTTCAACAAGAGACAGTTTCTTTAAGAGGTAAATGAAAGAACATGAAAGATCTTACCAGAGTCAAGTGAGGAAACTCTCTTAGCAGTGTACATGTGATTTTACACATTGGTTTACTATCATTGGCTACTATTGCCTACTTACTACTATATTTACCAATACTACTAATACTACTACACATGGCCT